CTCAATCCCCAGTTTCTTACCACCACACATGCAAGCAAAAAAAGCAAAAGGTTAGCAGGAATTTCAAAGATGAAAAATGCTAACTCAACTGTAAGAACAACTCAGTTATTTATGCAAAGACCACCTTTGTTTAGGCTTAACCAAACGTCATAGCTGGGCTTTCTTTACCCTCAAAAAATTCTCCATTGTCCAACTGTTTGTAGAAACTGCAGCAGCTGGGAAACTTGACCTTCACATCAGCAAGAGAAAGAAATAAGGGAGTGATTTCTGAATCAGTTGAATAATTGGTCTCCTCTAGGATTACTAATTTACAATTTCAGAGTTTGAGCATATTTTAAATCCCAGTTGGGAAGATAATTGCAGTAAATGCATTTACTTTTGGCCACCAACAGATGGTAGCATTTGAATGTCAAAGTGCCCTTATGGGACTTGGTCTTCAGTCTTTACTTAAATCAATTCTCACCTGTGTCCCTCCTCCCTGCCCCCCCCCCCCCTTTGGATCTAGGGCGAGATTTTGCAGTCTTTCCTGAGCATGTAAAATCTCCCCCTCAACACCAAGTTTTGCCTGAATGAGGATTATAGATTTAGCTTTTTTCTGCTGGATGCTGGTTATTGCTAAATGGTACAAATAACACAACCCTAATCATTTGTATTTCTTTAGATTTATTCAAGGACCTCAAAGCACTTTACAAACATCAGTGCCTCCTGGGAGGTATTATTTACCCTAGTTGAACAGATGTGGAAAATGAGGCACAGAAAGCCATGTTTGCCCAGTGGTGAGCAGAGCCATTTGACACAAGTGATTTTCAAATGTTTAGTGTCGCTCATTAAATAGGCTGCCTATGTGCAACTAATGCATGTATGACCACAGTTTAAGGTCAATGCATTCTGCCCCATCCAGCTACAAGGACAGGATGGGGAGCTGCCACAAAAGTGGCGCCTGGGCACTGCTGGAGAGCCTGGGAGGGGGCAGACGATATGAGGAACAGGAGCAGCTTCCAAGGGACACTGGGCTCAACGGGATCTCTAGGAAGTGATTCTATCGATGGTGGAAGTTAGGGGTAGCTGTTGGAGGGAGTGTGTCTGAAGGAAAGAATCACAGAGAAAAGGGGCTGAAAGGGACCCTGAGAGGTCATCTAATCCAGGGGTGCTCAACCCCCAGCCTCCAGGCCAGATCCAGCCCCGGGTGCTGTAAAATCTGCCCCCCCCCCAGCTTTTTAGGGAGCCCCAGGGGCTGTGTGCTAGATTGGGTATGCAGAGCAGCACAATGCCCTGAGAGCCAGATCCCCCCTGGCTCTCATTTGACAACCCTGGCAGCAGCAGGTTACACTGACAGCCCTGGTCCTCCTGCTTTCGCTGGGGCAGGTCAGGGGTGTGACAGGGTTGCCCGGGTAGCATTGGGAATACGTGAAAGGAGGATTTGTGTGGGATGGCTTGGCTAGGGACGATGCTGCCTCAGGCAAGGGAGCAGGACTAGATCAGTGCTGCTCATGGTTTTGGCCCCACCGGCCAGACTCATGGCGCGAGGGTGGTCCCGTGAGCCGCACGGGGCCCCAGGCCACGGATCTAGCTCAGCTCCCCTGCTAAGGCAGCATCGGCCCCGGCCACACACCCATCTTCCTCTGAACCAGTCCTACCCAGGCTGCCCCTGTGCCTCCCCCAACCAGCCCCAGGGCCAGCCGTCCTGGTACTGCCAGGGCTGCCAAGAGAGCCCGGGCAGAGCGCGTTGCCCTGCTACAGGGGAAGGCAGAAACCATGGACGGGGTGACGCCCCTTCCTGACCCCCACAATGGGGTGGGCCTGGCCGCCAGCACCCAGAAACCTGACAGCAGGAGCAGCGGCCTCGCCCCCCCGGGCGGCGGGGGGGAAATCTTGCAAGGGAGAGTGCGCGTGCGCCCCGAGGTAGGTGGAGGAGGGAGGGGCTAGTGTTCCGGGGGACAGCGCAGCGTCACGGCCGTTGCGTGGCAACGCCTCCTTCCGGCACTGCCCCTCCCCCATCCACCCCCCGGAAGCACGCCCTGCTTGG